TTTTGGTTACTTTCATTCTTTCATTTCATTCATTCACTCAGTCGCTCATTCATTCAATCATTTTAGCTTTACTGTCGTCATTCAGAGCACACTTTAAGCAAACTATTGAGGAAACTCGATAGAGCTCTCCATTTCGCCATTGTGCGCTCTATTTCGCCACTAGTTGGCAGCTTTGAGATGCGCAAAAATATATTTTTTATTTAAATTGAATATACTTTTTTATGGTTTCGCCAGCGACTGTTTATTTTTGCGATAAATATCATGATTTTCGCATGGCTTTGTGTTGGTTTCGCTGCTTCGTATTATCGATTTCAATGCTATTCCAGTTTAATGGCAAATTGGTATGGTCAAAAGCAAACTTTGGCAGAAATAATGCACAGCGAAGACGAAAATACATATAATTAAAAATAATTGGATGACATTGAAGCTGACCGCTCAGCTTATACATAGATCGAGAGCGAGTTGCAAGTCAGTTCCTGTTGTCTTTTAAAGATTTAATTACCAAACTATTTCCGACTGACACGAGCTGCAGGCGGCCGGAAATTCGAGCGTCAACTACAAAATGCTATAGAAATAAACAACAGCGCTGAAAACTAAAACAAAATTACTTCAAAGGGCGTGCACATTGTTTTGATTCACTTTTTGCAGACAATCCACCAGGACACTCACCCACCAAGCCCCCAAACTCGGGCTCACTTTGCCACACGCTTTGTGGCGGAAGAGTTGCCATTTTCATTTTCTTTTGCGGCGCGCCATATTCTTTTAGTGTTTTTTTTCTTCTCTTTTTTCTCTTCTTTTTACTTTTATTATTTTTTTATTTATTTGATTTTATTTTTTATTTTCTGGCCCAGCTCATAATTTGCATGGCATGAAACTTGACTTTTGTTGCCCGGCCGAGGTGCAGTCGAGGGGTGGGCAAGCGTGGAAAATATGTTGCAGCGGCAGTGTTGAAAATATAATAGAAAAATAAGGTGGCACACAATATGGCCGAGAGCTTTACAGTTGGTTAAGTAGCAAAAGCGCGCGAAAGGCGAAAGGACGCAAAATGCGACCAAGCCAGCCGGATAAAGTGGCACCAAAAGCAGCCAACGGCATCAAGCTGCAGCCGAGGCCGGCGCCCGAGCATGGCGTGAAAATTGTTGTGACAAGAAAATTATAAACCGGAAAATGTTTTATGTTGTGGCCATGGCGATTCTTACTCCTTGAGAGTGCCCCTTTCTGTATTTTTTTTCCTTTCTTTTCTTGTTCTTTTTTTTTAGCTCTGTGTGTGCCATTTTCAGTTGGCTTATTGTGGCCATATTAAATTGAGAGGAAATTAACAGTGAAATGATGCCAACTTACGAAAGGGTCAACTTTGTCGACGATAATTTGCCAAAAGGGATAAACAAACGACGGGCAATTTAGAAAGCAGGATAAGCTCTGGAGCGAGTCGGCAATTTCTAACAAATTTACAAATAAGCTGCTGCGGATAATGCCAAATAATGCTTAAAATATGATTTAAGCAACTAAGTTAATTTCTTTTTTGTCTCGTTAACAGCACTCTTATATGCTTTTGGTTTAATTCAATTAAAAAACATTTTATAAATTCATTTAATTAGGCCTAACAGTACAGGATAACCAACCAGGGGCAATCTTTCTGGTACACTCGGATAACAGGTTAAGAGCACAACATTCTGCCATTGACCCACTTTACGACAAGGTACGTTTTATTGAAAAGAACTTTTCTTGGGTTTCTTTTATTAAGGAGCCCCTCTTGCAAACCAGCCCCCCCCCCCTCTCTCTCTTCCGGAGCCAAGCAAATGCCATTAGAAAGTCTACAATGCGACAACTTAACTATAAATTAGTGCCGTGGCCACATGGCAAAAGTTGTCGCACCCACATAGCCGCACAGGTACATATATGCTACCCGTAGGCCTCGTGTCCTTAAACTGGCTGGCATTCATTATATGCTGGTTACTTGCACGTTTAAGTTCGTTATACATTTAAGCCCCCGACATGCAGCATGCCACCCGTTTTGTGTGTCAAGCACACACACACTCTCCTCCTCTGGGGAAAAAGAGGTGAAAATGAGTACAAACACACTCAGCTACAATTACAACACTCAAAGCCAGGAAACATTATATGAAAAATAAAAAAAAAAAGGAGAAGAAAACTGTGCACGTCATGCGGCTGGGCAGAAAAACTCGCTCAGCGAACCAAATTGCTCGGCAACTTTACTGCATAGTTAATTAATAGGATAACACAATTAATTTGTGGGCAATGAATGTCTGAGCTTTATTTGCCAGCCGCCTAGCAGGCAAAAACGTTTACCCCAAGGGGCATACTGACGACTACTCCATATACAGGCATATATAAAAATATATATATATAAATATATAAATACATATGTACTTCTGCCTGTCCTTTCGCTTTTGATTCGCATTTTGAGCTCGCATTTGTAACAGGCTCGTAGCTGACTCACTTTTTGGTCAGTTTATATGGGTAGCCAATCGGAATTAGCTTATCGGACGCCCCAGCTGTGGCCTGGGCTAAGTAATCGCCAATGGTTTGGGGGTTTTCCATAGTAGGCGCTCAGCATAAGTAAAGTTTTGCTTAAGTTTGATGCTTCATCTAAAATGTTCAATTTTAGAGACAAAATAATCTTTGAAAAAGAAACAATTTGCGATAAATTGCAAGGATATTCATTACATTAGATTAGGGAAATGTAAACTAAAAACTGTCCGAAAAGAGCCACGATTCAGTTCGGATAATGTGTTATAGCGGCATATGACATGAAAATATAATTTTAAAGAACTTGGAAATGTATTTATTATATCCTTATTTAAAGCAAACAGTCAGCGGAAAAAAGGAAGACAATTCAAAGGGAAACAGAAGAGGGACTACTTGAAGGCCCTCAGCCTCAACTGTGGCAGTGGCTCAATTAAGGACGCCGCTCGTGGGGACAGGCGTGAAAAGTACAAAAACAAAAGCGCACCACAACAACGACAACAACGACAACAACAACAACAACAACAACAACAACAACGACAACAAGGAGCTACTCACAAACATCAGTTTTAACTATTGTTTGCACACTCTACGCGGCATAGAGGCGAAGGGAGGCGGAGTAGGGAGGGATGCCCCAACTTTAAAGTTGCACTCTCCACGCTTTGGGGTTTTGTTAAAATAACAAAAGCGGCCGCCGCAGCCGTTAACCAAACAAGTGGCAAATGTCTGGCGCCTGAAAAGGCGGCTAACGAAAATTTTCAAAAACGTAATTTTTTATGCTGTCACAAATTTGACGATGCTTATGGTGATGATGATGATGATGTTGCCGTTGATGCTGCTAATGATGATCATTATAATGCTAATAATGATGTTCCAGGCAATATTTTGCCAGCATTAAAGAAGTACTATATATAAAACTCTCGACTTTATGTTGCCATTTTGCATAGTTGTTGCCGTCGCCGTAAGTTGTTTGTGTTGCCAACATTGTTGTCACAAAAACACACTCACACACACACACACGCAGATGAAAAGAGGAAGAGAGAGAGAGAGAGAGAGAGAGAGAGAGAGAGAGAGAGAGAGAGAGAGAGAGAGAGAGAGAGAGAGAGAGAGAGAGAGAGAGAGAGAGCTTTATATAGCAAACAACAACAAGCTGGGCAACTTAATTTTTCCGCATAGCCCAGGACATTGTCAAGTTATTTTCGCCCTTTGTTTTACTCTGTTTGTTTTACTTGTTCTTATTGTTGTTGCTCCGGACGTCAAGCTGAGCGAAAAAGTGCTAAAAATGCCCAAACAACAACACAAAAAAAAATTGGATAAATAAGCACTTCAGGCTTTGACGCTTTTGTTTTTACGCGTTGCTTTTCCAATTTTTTTTTTTTTTTTGATAGGGCTAATTTTTCGCGTTTCAGACGCGAAAATTCAATATTGTTCGATGAAAGGGACATCAAAAAAGAAAATATGCTTTGATTTTGTGTTTGAAACAACGTCACAGAGAGCTTAGAAAACAGCAAAAGGAAGAGAACCTGAAACTGATCAATAAATGGAACATTGTTGCGTGCACAAAAATGTTAATTGACACGTTTCTAGCGAGTTTGAAAGGGTTTAAAGGGTGCTAGAAACAAACACTTATATTATTTGTTAATAGTCCCTTTCAGTTTATTTAAATACTAAATAATATATATATATAAAAAAAAAAATATAAAAATATATATATATATATATATAATATATAGTTATATTATGTTTACCTTGTAGTCATCCATGTCTAAAAGTTGCGTTGCCTAAAACCACTCAAATGTGATATTAAATTGTATTATTTATAATTATTTTAAGCACTTTTCACTGGATTCGATAATTATGATTCTAAACACGATTTATGCCGTTCAATTCTTAAGCTTTTGTTACATTCTTTTTTTCATATTTGATCTCTGGTAGTCTCTCTATAACTGGGCAAGGACTTGGACAAGCACAGCACCACATTCGCAGGCACAAAGACAAGCGCAGAGGCAAAAAGCTGCCGCCGGAGCCTAAGTTAAGGCGCAAGCTTTCAAAAGCTCTCTCAAGTCTAGGCTTAAAAGCGCACAATGCAGTGGGCAGCGGCAGTGAGAGACAGCGAGAGAGTATAACAGACAGAGATGGAGATAGAGAGAGAGACAGACATAGCCACTAAGCTTCAACTATATGTAGATAAAAGCACAGATAATATACCAAAAAAATTAAAAAAAAAAATAGAACATAAAGTAAAAGCACAAAAGCACAAACGACAAAAGCGCGACAAGATCCGTTTTTTGGTTTTTTGGTCTTGTCCTTAAATGCATTGGGACCTGGGCAGGCTTGGATGTCTCATTGTTGTAGGGGGGTGGTGGAGTACTTAAGCCATGATGGATTAAAGTTAAAAATATAAAAGCTTACAAGCTACATTCCATACATATACGCGGTAGAAGCGGAGTGGTAATGGATACATGTGGGCATAGGTTTTGGCATTCTATATACTGGTTGGGCATAATACTGACCTTGATACTGTCATAGCAAGCGGTAACCTTGCCGTTCTGCACCTCCACATTGGCCGGCGGATGGGCGAACTTGCACTCCGTATCCTGGCGCGAGCATTTGTTGCGCTGAAACTCGCGGCACACCTCCAGCTGCAACCAGCGCGAGTCCTTGCCATTCAGCAGGCTGTTCATATTCACAACGTTGGCCATCGTAGCGGCAACTTTTCAGTATTATAATATATATATATATAGGTATTCTAGATATATATATATATATATATATATTATAGAAATATATAGTTTTTAGCTGGGGAGACTATATAGATAGCTTAGCTGGCGACTAGAAATGTTGCGCGTTTTACGTTTATGACGTTGGCTTTGTTTGGGTTTTTTTTGTTTTGTTTTTTAGATAAACAGCTCTTAGCACAGATCAGCACCTATATATATAAGGTATACATATATTTATATATATTTAGCATAGATGGTAGCGTTTTGTATGAGTTCTTGTTGTAGCGTTTACACTTGCTTTTTTTATCTGTTTACAAAGCTTGGGGATGGCTGATAGCTTGGGGTACTTGAAGCCTATCTTGGCTAACAGTTGTATAGTTTAATTTTGATTCGAACAAACGTTTATATATAAATATGCTTTAACTTGATTATTGTTTGTAAGTTTAGCAGCTTTTTTTGCCTTGCTTTGTTTTGGTTTTTATTTTTTTTTTTCGTGTAAGCTTTTCTTTATTGAGCATACGCTGATTTTACATTATCTGAAATGAGAATAAAAAAGAGAAATAGACGTTTAGGTTTATACCAAACATTTGGTTAACTCTGCGTTTGGATAGGTGTGTTGTACAAATCATTTCAATATTGACCAGCACACGCGCTTTGGCAAGACAGAAACAGAGAAAGAGTATGACAGAGACAGACAGAAACATGTGTGTGTGTGTGTGTGTGTGTGTGTGTGTGTATGCAATGCTGATCGAATTTTTGGTTAGTAGCGCGCAAATTATTGGAGCTTTGGTTAGTTTTTTCTTATTTGGGGATGCAATGATGCTAAATGAGTGTTAAGTGCATTTAAATAAATTAAATGATATATTATAAAGATTGAGACTAAATTATAATTACGCTTAGCTTATCCTTTACGAACGCTTCCACTTTATCTGGGCCTAACTAAATATTTCTTAATTTGATTTATTGATTGAATATCGAAAAATATTTTATTTTATCTATCATTTAAAATATTAAAGTTTTTAAGCATTCGTTATTAAATTTTATAAATATTTATATTTTTTTATAATATGTATCTTGTCGTATTTAGAAAACTTTTGTTCTAAACATTTTTACTTTTTATGGAACAATTTTTTAATGTAATTAAATTGAATAGTACAAAATATTAAACTTTATATATATATTTTTTTTATATTAAAATATAAATATTTTCGTAAATTTTCTTTGCAATTCTATCAAGTTTGAGGCTAAACAACTCAGCTACTAAGTTACAAAAGTTTAATTCCAATATTTTCAAAATGTGCGTGAAATGAATAAATTAAAAATCTTTTGGGATTTCTTTTCTTGACGATTGTGTGACTTATTGTGCAATCACAAGGATTTATCTATATGTGTGTGTTTTTATGGCAAAATATGGTATAATTATGTGTCTAGATATAGAGCGTGAGCAGCCACAGCATCATCCGTATTGCAGCCAAATATGCCAGGCAGGCAACAGGCAACAGGCAGCAATCGCAGCTTGCAGACTTGCCACAAAAAGTGTATTTCATTTTGTTTTTTTTTTTGCTTATTTCTGGCTGTCTTAATACCCGTTGCGCTCTATTGTACAGCGAGTTAAACCAAACCAAGCACGGCCCATAACAGCAGCAATGCACATTGACAAACTACAAATAAAGTGCGCCACGTTTTTCATATACATTACAAGAGATTATTATATATAGTACTTATATTTGGTAACATTTTTTTGGTTCCCAGCGGCATTTTGTAGCGTTCAGCGTAAATGAAAATCAAATATATAAATAAATAAATACCAACTAAAAATAATATTTCTTATATTATGATAGCGAAAGCAACATACAAATAGAGAGACAGAGAGAGAAAGAGAGTAAGGGAGAGACTTGTCTACGTATGTTTTTTCTATGGCAAAAGTTATCAAAGTATTTGATTGATGGCGCCGCAAATAGTTTATAAAGTCTAAATTGTATTTTTTCTTTTTTTTTTATCGTGCTTTCTACGCGTCCTTAGCAAAAGCGAATTAAAATTAAACGCACTTACCGCTCGCATAGTTTCTTATTATTAAATGCATTTGTTTATAAGTATTACAAAATGTCTATAAATATTACTGTAAAAAAAGTGTTAAGTAAACATTAACGGGGCATTTGTAATATCTATCATTTATATCATGTATATAACCACATTATAATAATGAGCAATGTTTATTAAATTAGTCGAACTGAGAAATTAAAAATTGCAAAATCTTCGGAATGATTCAATCATCGATGACGCCACACACAAATTTCATTTGTTGTCGGCTTTTTTCCTGTTTATTGTCAAGTTTGATTGTATACACTCTCTTGTATTTGGCATTTCATTTCTCATTGTTGTTTCTGTAGTCTTTTGTGCGGCTCACAATCTTATCTTATCTGCCGCCCCGCAAATGAATCAAAAATTGTCATTCAAACCCAAACGAAAGTAAGTTATTAATCAGCGCCTGGTTCTGGTTGTAATTCTGAGTAATATTTAAAGCAATTATCAAAACAAACTATTTATATGGATATTATATTTTTATATAAGCCAAAAGTTGGCTCTGCATCCAATAAATATAATGAAATGTGAAATAAAAAATAAATTAAAACAAAATATTTATATTTGAGCTTTTCATTCTTGGGAGTTAGAAAAAAAATAAATATATTTCATAAATGTGCTTAATAAAATTATTTAAAAATGAAGGTCGCCAAAATAAGGATATAAGGCAAATAAGGTATTTTGATAATTAATTTAATAGTTGGTGAAAAAAATATTCATAAAATTCCATCCATAATCAATTTTCTAAAAACTCTAACAAATATATATATGACTTCTAGTTCTCTTGCAGATGTGAATTTAGAATAAGTTATGGTCTTTAATATAATTTCTTTTAATATCCGTATACAAATGCGACTTCCATTCAAATATTAATGATTGCCCACGCACAACCCTGAGCAACATGTGCAATAGCTAAAATAGTTTTTGGTTAGCTACCAAAAGCCATATATATGTATATGTATATATCGCTATCTGGCCTTTCAGAGATATCGATTCACACAGACAGCCACATATACAGATACAAATGCCAATACATGTGCAGTACATTATCTATAGTTATTTTTAAAAAGATAAAAACCAACAAAAACAAAAGGTTAAACAAAAAAAAAACGCATTTATAATTTTATAAATTTTGTTTGTATATATGTATAACAATAACTTGTTGCTCGTCGGTCGGGGAATATATATATATATATATATATATATATATATATTTTGTTTTTTGTAGTATAAGTCTAATATGCTGTTGGGGCTTGTATGATGTCAGCTGCAAATTGCTTTTCCGTATTTCAAGTTGATATTCAAAATAATGTATATAAAAACAAAAAGAAGTACAAATACTAACTTAATTTATGAGCTGATTCTTAGACGTGCGTCTGTGTGTGTGGGTGTGTGTGGGCTGTAGTTAATACTTATGGCATGTATTAAAATAATGCCTGTACAGCTTCTTCTTTTTAACTGAAAAACTGAAAACACAGCAAAAAAAATGGATTTGAGAAAAAAATAGAGAAACTTTTAAACAACGCAACCAGCGCCCACACAAATAGAACCAGCAAAGCGGACGTGTTGAGCATCAAATGTGAATAGAATAAATATATAAATATATATATAGATATGGATACGGATTCAGATACAGATACACAGCTAATGCTAGCATGTCATTGACGCAGTTTCTGGATACAGAGAAATTTATGGCCAAGCAACTGCTTGTATGTGTGTGTGTGTGTTACAAAAATAAACTTGCCTACAACTAAGTAGTGTGTGGCCAATGGGTGTACTATAGAAATGTGGGCCAAGAATAATCGAAGAGCGATATCGATGACTCGATGACATTAACATCCGATGACCTACAAGCAACCTTCAGGCTTCAGTGGTCGTTAATATGTTATAAATAAGCGTATGCACTTATATAAGGATATTAATTTATTGCTAATTGAGCCCGCACCGTGATTAAAAAAAGATTAATACATTAGCCGGAGGCACAAGAAAAAAAAACATTAAGCAATGACTTGAAATAAAATTAAAGTAAAAACGAAACGAAAAGATGCAAATTGCTTTAGACGTGAAGACCACAGAAAAAAGACACGAGACAAATTCGAGAAACAGACCAAACAAGTTCAACAAGTTTTAAGTCTTGTATTAAATTTTGGTAGCACACTCTTTTTGTTGTTGTTGCTTTTCCTTTGTTTATTTTTACTTATTTTTTTAAGGTTAACCTGAGAGAGAGATGGAGTGTAAAAGAGAGCGACATCTAAAGAGCAGCTGAAACTGAAATCGAAAACTGTTAATTTTTATAGCTATTAACACAAACTCACTAAATATTTACATTCACATATTCATATTCGTATTCATCTCTGTATTCGCTTTGTATTATTCGTATTTATGTAACCTGTACCAACAAAAACAAAACAAAAACAGCAGCTGCGTCTGTTGAAATGAGTCGAAAATTGTTCCACATGCGGGAACAATTACCCGGCAATAATTGCAAGTGGGTTCCACGTATATTTGAATAGCATAAAACTTAAAACAAAAAATTGGCATCGCCTTGAAATCTGCCAAAAGATAAAGTTGGAAATGAGTTCAGGCTAATGAAAAAGACGTTGAATTCAAAATATCGTGCTCGGATTAATATTTCGATAAAACAATAATTCGACGATTATCAGCTTATTTCTTATTTTCATATCGTTCAACGATTCGCACAAAATTTTGCAATTAATAATTTCGCCTGAGTTGTTACATTCTTCTATATGTTTATATACCCTGTGTTGTTATAGATAAGTGAAACATTCTGATTAAAGAACAAAATCGAGCCAATATATGTATCGATAAATAATCGATAAGCAACAGTTATGGCGTAGCCTGAACTGAAAAAGGTAACTGAATTGATGAAACGATTAACTAATCGATAAGCTTATCGAAAGCTCCTGCTTATTAAGTTATTGACGTTGTCTTAACGGATCGATACAAGAATTAATCAACTTATCGATATTTCAAACGAAATTCATACATTCACTCTTTTGTGGGCCTTAGTTAAAATGATCAACCATATATCGATAAATAAAGTTATCGACACAGGATGGTTGTAAAACACTCCAGTTTTTTAGTTATGCCCCTTAAACAAATTTGTAAATCCAATTAGGCATTCCAGCTGTGCCGCTTAACCCACATGCCCCACATCTTATAGCGCCCGTGGAATTGAGAGCGGGCCGCTGATAAGGGAACTCACAGCCGATGACGACGTCGTCATCGACTGGCTGGGCTGTTCACAGCTTGTTGTGAAAAGTCATTCCTTATATGTGCTTAATATTGTGTTGTAGGTTTTTTTAGATATGCGACTCACTCATAACGCACTCCAGCCCGTGTATATTTGTAGTAAATTAGTACATATATATCTATACATATGTATGCATATATATATATATATATATATATATATATATATATATATATATAT